CCTGTCACAGTACAGACCTGGACAAAGCAGGAACTGAAGAGCTCCTTCCTAGTGCCATCAGAAGGAGGCCTGGGCCACTAAGCAGACTCTGAGGACAGGGTATCGCCAGCAGCATTCAGAGTCACAAGTAACCCTAGATGTCATTGGAGTCTCTTCAAAGTAAGTCTTTGTGTTTTGGACAAGTCTTACAAGCATCAAGACATATTCTTACTCTTCTGTAGCCTTTCTTACTTACACGAAGGAAAGGAACAACTGGAAAGTGTACCCTATTATAGGTTAAATTGTTAAAGAAAGGCTGAAGCTTTCTCCAGAGTCTCTCTGTGACACAGGCTAGCCTTGAACTCATACTCTTCCTACCTTAGCCTTCTGTAGGAAGTACAGGTATTTGCCATCATACCCCGTCAGGAAGTTTCCTTGTTATTATAACCCATACCTGGGGTCTTACCAGTTCATTCTAACTTTTGCATGACTGATTGAGATTTTATCTTCTTAGCACTCAACACCACTCTCTGATTTTACCACAGGTCTATGCCCTGTTACATCGCCAGTGCTAAATGGAGGAGTGAGAGGGGTTCAGAGTAATACTGTAGAGAATTCTGTCAAAGAAGTTGTGATGTTCCTGACTCCTTTTCATTGATTGTGTTCACAACCTTCCTCTCTTCTAGTTAATCATAAAATGTATCATTTGATCTCCAAGTCACCCCTCTGTGCTGTAGAACACACACTAGTGTACTGTAACTTATGTTTGGTCACCCACTCATTCAGCCTCTGTCACCCACACCCTTTTCTGCCTTGAGAAATTATATTTCACATCTGGGTAAACTTTCAATCTCTCTCTCTCTCTCTCTCTCTCTCTCTCTCTCTCTCTCTCTCTCTCTCTCTCCCTCCCTCCCTCCCTCCCTCCCTCCCTCCCTCCCTCCCTCTCTCTCTCTTTCTCTTTCCTTTCTTCCTTCTTTCTTTCTTCCTTTCTTTCTTTCTTTTTAGTATTTAGGTATGAGAGAGAGCACCTTATACATCTTTCTGTTTCTGATTTCTGTTAATCTACCAGTTCCATGTATTTTGCTCTAAATGTTCATAGATACTGATTCATATTTTATGGCTCAATAATATTCATTTATCTGTGTGTGTTTATATATTTTCTTTAGTATTTCTTTTGTCAATGGACATCTGAGATGATTTTTTATCTTTGGTATTTTGAGTAGTTTATCAACAAATACAGAAAATATATGTTTTAGGCATGAGTGTGTCTTAGGCACACACATCTTTTACATGGTAACATCATTAGAGATACTTCTACAAGAAGGAGAATAAATGTTCAGTCCCGTCTGAAACTCAATTACTGATGCATTTATAAAGTGGCCTTTATTATTAATAGGGAAGTTGGCTTTTTAACTTAAGCATATTGACTACTTCTTTTCTTTCTTTAATCATTGTGATTAAAATTTCCACAGTGTCATTGTGAGACTCACTCTGTTCTTGTTTTAAACTGTGATTTTGCCTGTTTCCTAATGATTTCATACAGCTTCCCTTTGTTTTTCTTTCCACACCATTTAGAAATGAGCAACGTCATTGAATGTGGTTTATATTGAAGATTGATGTTGTGTAGTGTTTCTGTGAGTTTTAGGGGACACACTCTTCTCCACAACATGTATTTTATTAATTTTCACCACCACTCCCCCTGAAAAAGCAAAATATTTGATTTGAAAATATTTGATGTTACATTTTGAATGAACTTTAATTTTCAAATAAATTGTTTGAGTTACTGTGCTACACTGTCACTAAGTAGAACACTCCTGGCTTTGATGGAGGGTTCGATGGAGGAAAGGTAAGAAGTCACCCACAGGCATTTGGATGCAGTTGGATTTTGAGTGACCTCTTGCTGTTGATCCTGAAGTATTCACTGGTGTGGAA